AAAAACCAAAAAAAAATCAATAGGTTTCATATTTTGTCCTTTTTTGACATAAACTCCAATTATATCTATGATTCAAGGTAAAGTTAGGACTGGGTATATGAGTGTTTCACTGTCTGTTAGGCTAGGTTAAGGGTTGAGTTAGAGTAGTAGTTAAAGGGTTATAGTCAGGGTCTTAGGGTTAGTGTTACCATTAAAAACTTTTTTTACACCAAAATCTGATAGGTTTCATATTTCATACATTTTTTGCTGAATAATCCAATTACCATATTCCTTAATACAAATTACCTCTATGATGTAAGGTAGGGTTGTGTCTAGGTGTATCTGTGTTTTATAATCTGCCATATTAGGTTAAGGCTAGTGTTAGAGGACTGTAGACCAGGTTGGCCTCGAACTCACAGGAGATCCACCCGCCTCTGAGTGCTGAGATTAAAGGTGTGTGCCACTAACATCCGGCTTAGTTTGTTTCTTGAGACATGATCACACTATGAATCTCTGGCTGTCCTAGAATTCATTTTGTAGACCATACTGGCCCAATGTTGGATCCAGTCTCCAGCCTGGGTTTATAGGTTCTGTTAAATCCACTGGGAGATGTAAAAATTCCAGAGTACTTGCAGACCTAATCCAGGCTCAGATCCAGTACACACCACAGCTACTGATGAAGCCTCTGGCATGGTAGATTTATCCTGGGTTTGTGAGGCTAATCCATATTCAGACCTTGCTCTGGCTCTCCATCTTTTTTTAAATGTATGTCTATATGAGTGAGGGTGTCAGAAGCGCTGGAACTGAAGTTACAGACAGGTGTAAGCTGCCATGTGGGTCCTTGGAATTGAACCCGGGTCCTCTGGAAGAGCAGCCAGTGCTTTTAACATCTGAGCCATCTCTCTAGCCCCCGGGTCCTCATCTTCTACTGAATACAAGTTTTCTCATCTCCAACATTTTATTTGTTGGTGTGTTTATTTTAGATTTGCACTAAGCACCATAGAAGCCCATAAAGTTCAGTTAGAGAAGGACTCAACTAAACTCCCAGCCTACGGGAAGCTGAAACAGGAGGATTAAGACTTCTAGACCAGTTTAGGCTTACAGATGCTGCCTCAGATAGAAAAGGGGAAAATGAATCCCGCACTGATGAATCACCTACAAAAGTGCATTTGCTGAACTTCTATAGGACCAAGGCTTGATTCCCAACCTTCACAGGGCATCTTACAACCACCTGCAACTTCAGTTCCAAGAGATCCTTATGGACTATGCAGGCACTAAGTATACATACATGCACAGAATACACTGATGCACAGAATATTTTTAAGAGGAAAATGCTATAGATAAATATAGACAAATAGATGATATATAGCAGACAGAGATTCAACAATAGAATTTGATGACTAAATAATAATAATAATAATAATAATAATAATGTATTAATATAATAATAATAATAATAATAATAATAATAATAATAATGTCTTTAATACTGAAAGTTTCTGGAGCTGATGCTAAGAACACTTACAGATACTGCTAGTAGCAATGCCATTCTAAGCACTCTGGAATTCTGGGTAGCAATGAATAAGTCATTACTGTCTTCTCCAAAGTGGAAGCAAAACTGTCATTTGACATTGCCAAGGGCCCTTTCCTGCAGAACACAACCTATGCTGAGAACATCTGTCCTGCAGTGAAGGATATCTGTGGCAACAACCACAATCATGTCAGTTATAAGCATAATACTGTCTTTTGTGTATGTAGCATGCACCCCTCCTCCTAAGCCCTTAAGGAGGGGCTCCTATTTTCCTACATGGGCCTGAGCTCTCTCGGAGCACTTGTATTGCCATCTGTATATAACAAGTTATTTCACCTCAAAGAACAGCCAGCCTCAGTGTACATCCCATATCACCTCCAGAATCATTTTGCTCATCTCATCCCTCACAGGGTCTCCAGCCGCCTATTGATTCATCTGATAACAATTTTGGCTGCACATCTAGAGGCAGATGGGAGTAAGGCTGTCAAAACTCTGAGGACTCTTTAATACATTTGCATTTTTTTTCAGATTTTTTATTATTTTTATTAAAATAATTATTATTTTAATTATTGAATTAGAAACAAGATTGTTTTACATGACAATCCCAGTTCCCTTCTTCCTCCCGTCCTCTCCTATCACCCCCCCACACACACACACACTAAAACCCTACCTATCACATATTCTTTCTTTTATTCTTCCCCTGACTCAACACCTTTCCTTACAGCGTTGAGGAACAATGGTAGGGCCTTGGGCTTGCAAGAGAGTCATCTTCCTCATTCTGAGTCATATTCATGCAGACCATACCTTAACATATTTCTATTTTTTTTGCAGGGGAGCTCCAATTTAGAATTCCAGCATTTAGGGACTGGAGAGGTGGCTCCATGGTTAAGAACACTGGGTTGCTCTAGCAGAGGCCCCAGGTTTGATTCCCAGCACCCACACAGTAATTCACAACTATCCCACCATCCCCAACTCCAGTTGCAGGGGGATCTGATGCATCTTCTTATGTTGGTGGGCACCAAACATGCACATGATGCTCAGACACAGATGCAGAGAAAATAAACTCAGACATAAATAAAATGAATAAACCTAACTAAAAGTAAAAAAAAAAAGGAACCCCAGTATTTGGAAGGTTTGGTAAGAGGAAGATTGCAGTGTGCCTGGTGCTCCGATGCCAAACTGAAGTTCAGGCCACTCTGGGCTATGTAATGACACATTATTAAAAAAAACCCAACCATAACAAAACAAAACAAGGACCTATTTTAATAGAAGTTTTTCTAAGACACATGAGCCAGCTACCAGGACCATTTTTCTTTTTCAGGGCATTTCCTTTCCAGCCAGCGTCTGTCTCTCACCTGCATGGGTGAGTCTCCTTCCAGGAATCTCTCGAGGGCAGGTATGAGGGAGGGCATGACACTCCACCTGGGAGAGGGGCTCCTGACCTGATCCCTGCCCTCCAAGATCTGGAGAAGGTTGAGTTCACTACTCTCCCTTCAGGTCCCATCACTTTCCTTTCCTGCCCCCATCTGGGGTTGCTGCCCTGAGTGATCCAAACACATGTGGGACCAGCACACCCTAGCCAGGAGCCATTGGCACCTGCTACCTCAGGGAGGTCCCAACCACCCCAGTTCCCATGCATCAGCCCTGGATGCCTGACTCCCAACCTGGTCTGCCTGAGGGCCCATTGACCTGGTCCCACCACACAAGATCCCAAAGTCTTACTGTGTATAACTCCAGGTGATGTTTCTATGTTTATAGCAGTGTTGAAAATCCATGTGTTTTGGGGGGAGGGCCTAGGCCCTGCCCCAAATGATGTGACAGACTTTGATGA